ACAGTCCCTGTGGGCGCCGGGCTTCCGGAGTCTCCGCTCTCTCAGCACACCCCTCTCTGAGCCTGTTGCTTCTCTCTCAAGCAGAACAGGACCGGAAGAGGCCATGCACGCACAGTGCTGGGCACAGAGGCAGCCATCAATAAATGGGAGTCGTTGCTCCGGCTATTGTAATCTGTCGGTTCATTCTACAGGCTTCCCTGGCTCGGGGTGAACTGCACAGACGGCTCTCAGGTGACTGAGACGTGGCTTGTTAGAGGAACTCGGGGGTGCAGTCGGGGTGCAGTGTAGAGTTCTAGGCAGCGGGGTTGGGGCGGGAGTTGCCGCCAGGCGTCTGGCCACGAGGGGATTTGGACTTGTCCTTTGGGCGCTACGCGCTGGGAAGAGTCATGGTGAGTTGGGGGTTTGGAAAGAAGCCGCTGGCTCTTATATTGGAGGGAATACAACTGTGGGACGAGTGCAGGGAAGCAGCAGGGATGGGAGAGGAGCGTTTGCAGGACGGCGAGGCTGTGGGAAGGGGAGGAGGTACGCGGAAGGATGGCGAGTGAACTGGCTGGCGGGGGACTGGGTGGCTGCAGCAGGCGTTGGAGGCAGACATCTAAGATAAAGCCGTCTGGCTGGAGGTGGGGGCCTCCCTGAGAAGGCGATCCAGAAAAGATTGTAAAGATTCTGAGCCCAGTGTGGGCCACCCAGCAGCAGGGTCCAGGAGACTGCACAACTCCTGTGTCTGAAGCTTTTGTAAGAGAGAAATTGGGCCTGGAAACCAAGATTCGAGGGTCATCAAAGAGGGTAATTGAAGCTGTGGGAATTACTGACCTAGCCTGGGGAGGGTGCGGAGGATGAATGGAGACCAGGACCCAACAGAACCCTGAGAAAACCGGGACCTGGAAGGTTTGAGCAAAGAAATCAACCAGGATTGAGAAGGAGCAGCAGAGAGGAGGAAAACCAGAGGTGGCATCACGATGCTGTGAGGAAAGGCCATTTCAAGCCAGGGTGGTGGATGGCACGAACCGCATCCACGACCCCTCCGCTGAAGCAAGAGTTTTCACACCAGATAGAGTGTGCACCATACATGCTGCTTCATTTACTCATTCCACAATCTTCCTTCTGTACCTAATAGGTGCCATGCATTGCTTAAGGCACTGGAATTTCAACAATGAACAAGGCAGACAAACATAGCTGTGTTCAGGAAGCCTACGTGATTGGGAGGTGGGGCACAAACAATATATAAACACAGTGTAACTTGGTGATAAGTGTATGGAGAGAAATAAAGCAAGCTGACAGGATGGAGAAATGGGGTCAGTGCTCTTAGATGAGGAAAGATCTCTTTCATCAGATGGGATTTAAATAGGAATCTGAAGGAATTAAGGTGAGCCAT